TATTCAGGTAATTAGAAAAACAAGACTACACATTTGCTTGACTAAATCCCGGTGGAAAAAGATATTTAAAAAAAAAATCATAAACAAGCATTCTAGGGGGAAAAGAGAATACCGGGGAAGAAATGGAGGAAAACAGAGCAGATAGCCGGAAAAAATGCAGTGCCGGGGGATGAATCTCTGAGATCCAACACAGGTAAGCAGAACTAACCACGAACGGAGCTAATGTTGAACTGAGGGGGAAAAAAGTAGCTGGAAAAGTAGTACCAAAGCGAATAATGTTTGGAGGGCAAGAAGTAGGGCTCAAACCCATTAATGCTCGAGCTGAAAGGCTGAAAAAGGCCGAAGAGTAAAAGTAAAAGTACAACCGATATTATTTATGGCCGTTAGGTACACGAAGGCTAGCTGGAGAAGCGGCCAAGGGAGACAGCCTATTTTTTTCTGATGCACAGCAGCGGCGAGTGTCATGCAACAAGAAGATTCAGCTAGGATTTTAATTGTTTTCAGCGGCGAGTGTCCCTTTTGTGATTTATTCTTCAATGGCAGATATGGTTATTCTTCAATGGCAGATATCGTAATGATTGCTGTTGGTGTTCATCTAAATGATTTTGGGTTTACAATCATAAGGTCAATAGAGTGAGATTTCTTCCCAGCATCCTTCAAAGACTTGGTTGATTGACATTTAGAATTCTAGAATATTTTTCTGCTTCTTCATGTCATCTACCATTATGAGGCACAGTCGGAAATTATTAACCAAAAAAGGGGAAAAAGAAAGTGGTTGCATGCCTTAGACAATGAGATTGTCGGAAAGGATACACCTAAAAAGAATCCAAAAACAATTCCTACAAAGGTTGTGACAAGCAGCCTCATTGTTTCATTTGGTCTTCTTACGTGCAAGCTGCAGCCAGGTTAATGGGTAAAAACATATCAGAATTAGTGTTGCTATGCTGAGACAGGTAAAAACAATCCTCAATATGTCATTGATTTCAGTTGTAGCTATGCTCAGACAGGAACTCAGGAAGAACACTCTAATCACCAGAATTAATCCTTATGATTTCTTTAAACCATGCAACATAATTCATCAAACAGGAACATTAAAGAAAAACCCTGTCCATTAGGGAAGAAAAAATACAAGTCACTGAACCTGTTACGCCTAGGAGTCCCCATATATGCCATCATTCTGTAAAAGCAAAATTGCGGAAATGCCAAAACAGTGAAACTTCAACTGCGCATGACAATCAGCTTCCAAGCCTCCGCTCCTCCAGAAAAGAAATTCGTATCCTCATGGCATCATCTGAATCAACCCTGAAACTTAAATATTGCTATGTTAAAAAAAAAAAAAGACCTTTTCTTTTTTCCAACTCTTTATGTTTTTGACTAAATATATCAGTGAATAATTAATTCCCCTCACCAAAATGGAATCTCCTTTCCTCAACCCTTATACATTTTTTTTTCACTAAAAACACATAGGAAACCAAATAAACTGGACATAATCCTCTACTCAAAAGGAGTCGTTTTAATAATCACAGTAAAAATGGTATCTTTTTAATAATCGCAGTCAAAATTCACTAATTGATCAACTCTGCAAATCGGAACAGCCAACGAGAGAGTAAAAATCATGGTGCCATTTTCTAAATTTCCGGATCTTAATATGGTATAATACTAACTTACCGATTGTCAAATCCAAAATGTATATTATTTAGCATCAGCAGGGTGCTAATCATAAATGCATAAACAGTCAAAAGCATAAGCTTTTCTTGCTTACAAGGTTGCCAGCTGTCAGCAAAATTCAAAAAGTCTCGGCCGGAACGGAAGAATCACACCGTGGAATTGCAAACTTCTTCTCCAGTCTGGTAAACTACCTGAGGGACCTGAATCTCCTCGAAAAATCTGGATCCTCAGTTCACCGATAAAAAGAAAACGAAGGGCCGAGCTGGCCCAACTTAATCTCAGAATCTGATGTCCACCTGGGGCAACGAACAATCCTTGAATAGAAGTAAAGAACGGGAAGAGAACAATTTTATTTTAGTGATGGATGGAATTATCAAAGAAAAAGAAAAATTTTTGTCTCACAACGGCAAATGGACTTCAATTTTTTCTTTTCTCTCTCTTTTTTTAAATTTATTTTCCTTTCTTCCTCTTTAATCAGGCGTTTAAGATTACAATCGCACGGTGTTTAATAATGACGCCCTGATAATACCACCGAATTGAGGTCAAGTCTTCTGTCGGGGCAATGCTTGCATGTATTACAGCACTTATTTAACCCACTTTTTGATGGAAAATTTTGTGGTGGGATCCATTGAATGGCAAATCAAGACTTGGGATTTTGGTGTTTGTAGGGCTCCGATGTTTCGGTGTGGGACTGGGGAAAGATTAGCTAACTTTAGAATTTGATGATTCCCCGTATCCATGGGATCGCGTTTTCGTTCGTTTGGATGCAACTTTTTGGCTTATTATTGCGTCCTTTTTTCTTTGTTCAAATTATTACATTCTTTCAAAACTTTGAAAATTGCCTATAATAGTAGATGTTTTTTTTTAAATTTTTTTTGTCAAATACTATATACCTACACTGCTCTATACAAACTAGGAGGCATATAACACGCGTTGCGCGTTGGGATAAACATAAAATATGCCCCCTTAAGCATGTGGATTCATGGAACAAAAATGTTTGTTGGTTAATATGTGTACACAACTAAGCATAAATATACATGAATAAGTAGACGGCAAAATCGTTTTACAAAAATAGTACGAATATTTATTTAGATTTATAGAGAGGTACTGCTAGGATTTAAAGTTAATATTTTTTTAGTTAAAATTTGGTGAATTCTTCTCCTATCTTACTTTATTACTCGTTTAGCATGAGAATAAAGTTCAGCATTTTTCATGAAGTGCAGAAGCATAGGATGTGATGATCTGAATATATCGTACTTTATAAGAGAGAGAGTACTATCGAGATAGAGAACTACTTTCGTTGGAACTTGGGAAATTCTTCTTTTATCTCACTCCATTTCTTGTTTAACATGAGAATCAAGTTTACTATTTTTCATGAAGTGTAGAAACATAGAGTGTGACCACAAGTATATATTATGCTTCATAGGACAAAAAGGGAAATACTAAGCTAAATTTGAAGGCATTTTCATTATATATAGCAATACTGATCCAATTGTGATTATAGTAGTTTGAAAAAAAAAAGTGATTGAATTCTCATATTAGTTGACTATGAGTTAATCGAGTTGATCAATGAAATAAAAATGAAATGGGTACAGTTTTTGAATTCCTCTTTAGTTGAATTGGCTAACAATAAAAGAGTTCTAAAATTGTGAAATATAAAGAAATATCTCGCTATCGCAAAGAGTTCTAAGATTGTTGAACTGTTTTCAGATCTTTCCGTAATTCATTGATGGTGGCATAATCCTTTACTAACAGTCATTTCTCTGCTACTAATAAACTGGAAAATATCATGATTTATGAATTTCCTTTGTTGCTTTGTATTTGCAGGACTGGGAGATTGTAGTAGCTTTAGAAAAGCTGGCGGAGTGCCAAGACACTATTTTAAACTGGAAAATTGTAGGACTGGAAAGTAGTTAAAGGCATTGGCTTCACCCATAAAGGCTGCTCTTTTTGATAAGGCCCTTTTTGATAAACTATCCTGTTGTTGCCGCCATGACAACTTCTGAGAAGAATACTCGCCAGCGGTCATCTCTTCTAGATAAAATGCTAGCTGAAGACAAATATGTGACCAAGGATCTCAAGTCTCCTGAAGAATATTTATTCTTGATAAACTATAAAGGTTATTATCCACCAAACATTCTTATTTCATGAATCTATGTTTAATTAGGCATGTTTTTTATTCATTCCAATGCACATCACGTGGTTTGTGCCTCCTAGTAATAATGCTTTCATCAATCACATTTCAAATACTCATCAAACAAAGGAAAATAGAAGCCCCATATAAAACTCTCCAATTTCAGAGTCGGGACCTAAATTTTGCAACAAATTCAATCAAAACATCAACTAAATGAATTATGGTTCATACACTTCCTGAGAGTCACAACATTACAACATCTTTAAGTTACAATTTTTGGCCTATCTCTTCTACTTGAAGTTGCTGTGAGTTAGCCTGGAACTCTGTCATTTGTACATGATTGTATGAGGATGGTACTTTTGAAAAAAAAAAAAAAATCATGAGGAGGGTCCTATTTTACATCTGACTGCTTCAGAAGTCCAGTCAACTTTGACTACTTCTGCAACAACGTGGATGTAAGGAGGAGCTACACAAGACACTTTTTTAATGGCTGTATTTCCAAAAAGAAAGCATGCGGACACCATAATTTGATTATCATCAATAATGATATAGGACCATCGGATTGTTGGTGCGGAAACGAAGGCCAGAACCAATTTGCTCTGAGGTGGGACATACCCAGCAAAAGATATTTTGACCTAAAACCTGCAAGTCAAGTAAATCACGTATAAATGCCTAGAAATCTAAGACCATATCTCGGAGAGCATGTTGTACCATGATATCTACAGTATTAGTTAGTAAACTTCTATGCACAAGAAGCCTAATTTGATCAGCCAAATGAAGTGCCTACTCTAGGCTCTCTTATTTGCTACTAAGAACAAGAGAAGAGAGAAACGACTTACTGATATCATATTCTCATAAGTACCAAGATCATATGGATGTGAATACAGATAACCTCCTTTTTCAGCAAGCCACATAGCTCTCACACCTTCATGGTACTGTACGGTAAAAAAGGTAGGAAGTGGTCATCAGACTTGATCAGATGCCAGATAGATGAAAAAAAAATACTATCACCACCAATGCAAACCTCTATTGTGGTCTTGTTTTGCAGAATAAGATAAACATGCCAAAACATAAAGATGGCCAGCGCGAGAGTCAATGGCACCAGCAGGATCCCTGAAATGACCTGAAGGCTACTGTTCAAGTTGAATGCAAGGATATGCAAAATTATAACTTGTTGAAATATAGATACAGGAAGAAGTTACATATGCAGCTCTAAAAAAGCCTTTATTTTGCTCTTCATCTGTTGTAGAATCAACTGTTTTCTACCGCAAAGCAAAACCTGAAACAATAAAGAGCAACTAAAGAGATTCAGAAGACTTGGTGAAAAGAAAAGGAGGAGAAGGTATAAACAACAAAATCCGCATTCAAATTAAGGCAAGTTCAACCACAGGCCACAATAATTAAATGTCAACTAATAGGTAAATAAAATGAAAAAGGAGCACAGAATAGAAAAATAAGAATCTTTTATTGAACTGAAAGAGATATATTGATATACCAAGGAGTATATGCATGAAACAACGGCGTAAAGAAGAAATAAGAAGTAAAAAGAAAGATGGTTACATTCAATCTTATCATCAATCGGAGCATTTGGGTGAAAGACTGAAAGAGAGCGTGCAAACTCCTCAAAATCTAATATCCCATTTTGCTTTGTGTCAAACAAGTCAAATACCTGGGAATTTTTAATGATTTTGTCATCGATTATCAAAAGGAAAGGTGACTAAGTTTGAATACTTTCCGCACAAAGAGAACAGGGGGCGTCGGAAAACAGCTCAGAAAAGCTACATACTCCTAATGGAGACAGACACGAATCAAACATATCAATTCTATTGTTCAACATTTGCAGAAAGTACCCGATCAGCAAACAAGCTCTCCTTTTTATTTGTCTTAAATAGTGCAAGTTGAAACTCTTCCTGCAAAGCAATTAATTAGCATAATTCAGGAAAAAACATAAATCAACTACAAAATATAGAAAAACAAAAACATGAGGGATGTAACTGAGACAGAAAAAGTACAAGTCAGTGCATTGACAGTATGGCTATGTTTGAATAGCACTTGTACCACTTACAGTGAAATCTATTACCTTGTTGATAAGCCTATCATCAATCACAGCACTGCTGATCTTCTTAAATAATTCATACAGTGCCTCTATCTCACTGACACTGACTGCAGCTAGATTTTCCAAAAAGGGGGAAAAGAAAAAAAAATAACAGCAAAATTTCCAAATCAGAACAACTGGTAGACAACTGATATAAAAAAAATTCTTATCAGCACGAAAATGAAGTAAGCTCTGAATATTAGAAATTCCATTTAGTCAAGGAAAATGAGCTGAGCACGGTACAAAGAAGACAAACTCTCCAGATGGCCCCATTTTAGGCAATCTACTACTAAGAAAATGCACCACATTTTCAAAAAACACTTGTAAGGTCTGCAAACCTCAACATCTTTGTTAGACCATTTATCACATAGGAGATATGCGAAGTAAGAACCAGCTAGATGATCATGTCTACTATCTTCAAGACTATTTAAATCATCTACATGTGCTTCAAATAAGTGTGGTCTCTTCATGATTAATATCTTCTACGCCACTACTTTCTTGTATACCTTTGCCTTTCCTTAGATATGACACCAATTCTCCAAAAGAAGCCATGGTTCAATCTGTGGCCTGAGCTTGCATCAAGTTAAGACATGGCACCTGATATTAACATGGAAGGAGGAGTCACCAAGTGCTAGAGAAACTCCTTCGGTCTTTGAGAATTTATATGGACACTGGTAACTTATTTTTGCCTCATGCAGCTTTAACTCAGAGCTTAAATGCACTGTGAAAAGAATAGCATAGAGCAAATACTGCAGTCTTTGTTAATTTAAATCACCCCTGGCCAATCAGCAGTAGAAATTTCAGTCCAGTCAGATGCCATAAGTTCAACTAAGTAAAATTAATTTCTCAATTTGCGCAACAATTATGTTGATGAAGCACGTGCCATTCAATGAAAATAAGGCTACGTGATCTAAGTAACAATTTCGTTTCCTTCAGTGTGAAAAAAGAAATGCAAGTGACATAATATAGGCTCTTGGTACAATGCTAGAAATCAGTCTTGAGTGACATACAGACAGTCTCCCTTGCAAGAGCTTCAAGATTTTCTAATCCTCGGGGTTGCTTATAAATTTCAGAATCACAGGAATTGACAACAGCAGAAAGTAAATGCTTCACACCGTCTAAGCAACGCAACATGATATCTTACAGAAACCAAAACACTCCATACCTGTAAATTAAATGTTACAAAATTTTTGACATATCATTTCAGAAAAAGTGTTGATGCTTGAATTAGTGAAAAAACATCCAATGATATGTCAAAGAATAGGATATACTTAAAAGGAATACAAATCAATGAGATAACAGTAAAAAAACTCAAAAGAATGGACTGCAAAAGAATAGGTAATTGCAAACAATTGAAGGTGTAACTTGTCCATACACTTTTGTCTTTAACTGAAGACATCATCTTTTAATTCATTAATGTGTTTTCCATACTTTTGACATACTTGCACAACATATGTTTCTTTTTTCTTTTTTTGAATAGAAATAAAAGTATTTGGCCATACAGTAGCACGAACACAGTTGAATTGTTTACTGATGATAGCAATATTGAATCAGTATCTTAGTAAACATGATATCCTCGTGTGCTTATATGTCAGTAAAAAAAAAAACATACAAAGATATGTTACAGAATTTTTGAACTACAAACGCTGATGTTTAAAACCTGATAATGCATACAAATTGAACTTAAAACCAACTTATTTATTAATCTCCTCTTTGAATTAATAGCTGATGTGTATGGCTGAGCGATAGAAAAAAGAAAGGATAGAATCCACCATAGCACACCCAAGGTTAGAAAAGCAGAAATCAAGCATACTTGGAGTCAATAATGAAAAACAGATACCAAAAAAGTGAACTGACCACAACAGCAAGACGAAAAACGACACCATGGCCACCAGATAATCAATTATTTCAGTTTAACATTTATGTAATTCAAAGTAGCTCATACGAACATAACATTCCCAAAAGTCTGGACTTTCTGAAAGAGAACAGATGCTGAGACCACAGGATCTAGAGGTCCCGGGTCAAATCCCCCTTCCCCTATCCTGCTTCCTAAATTCCAACCCTCCCCTGCCAGGAGAAGAAAAAAAGAAAAGAAGAAGAAGAAACAGAACATAAAATTCCTTTTTTTACACGGCTGTGCTCCTGCCAGTCAACAAATAATGATCAGCTCAATAGTCCAAAACCAATGCTTGTAAGGAAGCCCTTAACCACCAAACCCAGTTTGTACCCCACAATCCTCGATACTGATCCAATATCGAAAAACCCCAACAGTTCGAGAAAATATCACATTAGTAATATCCCATAATTTTTTCAACATTTATAACACAGAAAAGAAGATTTAGATTAAGAAAAACAAAAGCCCTGACACTGGCATAGACTGCAATCAAATGCCAGGTAACAAGCAACAAAATTAGAGATTATTTTAATTTGCGGCCACACTGCTGCAAATTTTAACTGACAGTCAACTAAAGGGAAAGAAAGGGAAACCAAATTATCACATCAATCATCAAGGACAGTCTTTTTTTTCCAAGTTAATTTTACCTAAATATTTGCACTGGAATTTAAACAATAAAAAAACTGAGATATTGCGCAAACATATACTACTATGGTATGTCAAAGCACAAGTGTATGATAACAAAAAAAACATCAGAAGCAGCAAATGCAGTGATTCCAATGCTCTACTCTGTGTAATGTTCAGCTACAGAATGTCAAATATGAATTATGTTTCTAACTCCATACGGACAAGTTTACTCACAGTAGTCCCTATCTTGTCTTTTGAAACAAGGTCATCATCCACTAAACTCTGGACAACATCTTTCACCAGCCTTTATTGGGACCCAATTACTCCAGCTCCTTGATTCAAAACTCATGAGAAAAATTCAGAATCCAAGAGGTAGAAAAAAGAAAAAGAACAATGTCAATTCATAAAGGAACATTAAAAAAAAAAATTGAACACATAAAACCAATGCTCTAAAAAAAAAAAAAAGAGGAGGAAAAAAGTACCTCTTGCTTGACGGTGGCATAACCTAAAGGAATCCATCTTTCTTTTTGGGATTACTGCTGCTACTAATATAGCTATTAGGATTGTTACAGCCAAACCTACAATAGTAAATGTTAAGCACTCAATTTATAAAAATCACCAATAATAAATAAAGGGCACTAAATGAAAATGATTAGACGGTCCATACAAATTTAGAAAAATAAGTAGATCCTAGTTCTTATTTTCATTGAATGGCACGTGCTTCATCAACATAATTGTTGCGCAAATTGAGAAATTAATTTTACTTAGTTGAACTTCTGGCATCTGACTGGACTGAAATTTCTACTGCTAATTGGCCAGGGGTGATTTAAATTAACAAAGACTGCAGTATTTGCTCTATGCTATTCTTTTCACAGTGCATTTAAGCTCTGAGTTAAAGTTGCATCAGGCAAAAATAAGTTACCAGTGTCCATATAAATTCTCAAAGACCGAAGGAGTTTCTCTAGCACTTGGTGACTCCTCCTTCCATGTCAATATCAGGTGCCATGTCTTAACTTGATGCAAGCTCAGGCCACAGATTGAACCATGGCTTCTTTTGGAGAATTGGTGTCATATCTAAGGAAAGGCAAAGGTATACAAGAAAGTAGTGGCGTAGAAGATATTAATCATGAAGAGACCACACTTATTTGAAGCACATGTAGATGATTTAAATAGTCTTGAAGATAGTAGACATGATCATCTAGCTGGTTCTTACTTCGCATATCTCCTATGTGATAAATGGTCTAACAAAGATGTTGAGGTTTGCAGACCTTACAAGTGTTTTTTGAAAATGTGGTGCATTTTCTTAGTAGTAGATTGCCTAAAATGGGGCCATCTGGAGAGTTTGTCTTCTTTGTACCGTGCTCAGCTTATTTTCCTTGACTAAATGGAATTTCTAATATTCAGAGTTTACTTCATTTTCGTGCTGATAAGAATTTTTTTTATATCAGTTGTCTACCAGTTGTTCTGATTTGGAAATTTTGCTGTTATTTTTTTTTCTTTTCCCCCTTTTTGGAAAATCTAGCTGCAGTCAGTGTCAGTGAGATAGAGGCACTGTATGAATTATTTAAGAAGATCAGCAGTGCTGTGATTGATGATAGGCTTATCAACAAGGTAATAGATTTCACTGTAAGTGGTACAAGTGCTATTCAAACATAGCCATACTGTCAATGCACTGACTTGTACTTTTTCTGTCTCAGTTACATCCCTCATGTTTTTGTTTTTCTATATTTTGTAGTTGATTTATGTTTTTTCCTGAATTATGCTAATTAATTGCTTTGCAGGAAGAGTTTCAACTTGCACTATTTAAGACAAATAAAAAGGAGAGCTTGTTTGCTGATCGGGTACTTTCTGCAAATGTTGAACAATAGAATTGATATGTTTGATTCGTGTCTGTCTCCATTAGGAGTATGTAGCTTTTCTGAGCTGTTTTCCGACGCCCCCTGTTCTCTTTGTGCGGAAAGTATTCAAACTTAGTCACCTTTCCTTTTGATAATCGATGACAAAATCATTAAAAATTCCCAGGTATTTGACTTGTTTGACACAAAGCAAAATGGGATATTAGATTTTGAGGAGTTTGCACGCTCTCTTTCAGTCTTTCACCCAAATGCTCCGATTGATGATAAGATTGAATGTAACCATCTTTCTTTTTACTTCTTATTTCTTCTTTACGCCGTTGTTTCATGCATATACTCCTTGGTATATCAATATATCTCTTTCAGTTCAATAAAAGATTCTTATTTTTCTATTCTGTGCTCCTTTTTCATTTTATTTACCTATTAGTTGACATTTAATTATTGTGGCCTGTGGTTGAACTTGCCTTAATTTGAATGCGGATTTTGTTGTTTATACCTTCTCCTCCTTTTCTTTTCACCAAGTCTTCTGAATCTCTTTAGTTGCTCTTTATTGTTTCAGGTTTTGCTTTGCGGTAGAAAACAGTTGATTCTACAACAGATGAAGAGCAAAATAAAGGCTTTTTTAGAGCTGCATATGTAACTTCTTCCTGTATCTATATTTCAACAAGTTATAATTTTGCATATCCTTGCATTCAACTTGAACAGTAGCCTTCAGGTCATTTCAGGGATCCTGCTGGTGCCATTGACTCTCGCGCTGACCATCTTTATGTTTTGGCATGTTTATCTTATTCTGCAAAACAAGACCACAATAGAGGTTTGCATTGGTGGTGATAGTATTTTTTTTTTCATCTATCTAGCATCTGATCAAGTCTGATGACCACTTCCTACCTTTTTTACCGTACAGTACCATGAAGGTGTGAGAGCTATGTGGCTTGCTGAAAAAGGAGGTTATCTGTATTCACATCCATATGATCTTGGTACTTATGAGAATATGATATCAGTAAGTCATTTCTCTCTTCTCTTGTTCTTAGTAGCAAATAAGAGAGCCTAGAGTAGGCACTTCATTTGGCTGATCAAATTAGGCTTCTTGTGCATAGAAGTTTACTAACTAATACTGTAGATATCATGGTACAACATGCTCTCCGAGATATGGTCTTAGATTTCTAGGCATTTATACGTGATTTACTTGACTTGCAGGTTTTAGGTCAAAATATCTTTTGCTGGGTATGTCCCACCTCAGAGCAAATTGGTTCTGGCCTTCGTTTCCGCACCAACAATCCGATGGTCCTATATCATTATTGATGATAATCAAATTATGGTGTCCGCATGCTTTCTTTTTGGAAATACAGCCATTAAAAAAGTGTCTTGTGTAGCTCCTCCTTACATCCACGTTGTTGCAGAAGTAGTCAAAGTTGACTGGACTTCTGAAGCAGTCAGATGTAAAATAGGACCCTCCTCATGATTTTTTTTTTTTTTTCAAAAGTACCATCCTCATACAATCATGTACAAATGACAGAGTTCCAGGCTAACTCACAGCAACTTCAAGTAGAAGAGATAGGCCAAAAATTGTAACTTAAAGATGTTGTAATGTTGTGACTCTCAGGAAGTGTATGAACCATAATTCATTTAGTTGATGTTTTGATTGAATTTGTTGCAAAATTTAGGTCCCGACTCTGAAATTGGAGAGTTTTATATGGGGCTTCTATTTTCCTTTGTTTGATGAGTATTTGAAATGTGATTGATGAAAGCATTATTACTAGGAGGCACAAACCACGTGATGTGCATTGGAATGAATAAAAAACATGCCTAATTAAACATAGATTCATGAAATAAGAATGTTTGGTGGATAATAACCTTTATAGTTTATCAAGAATAAATATTCTTCAGGAGACTTGAGATCCTTGGTCACATATTTGTCTTCAGCTAGCATTTTATCTAGAAGAGATGACCGCTGGCGAGTATTCTTCTCAGAAGTTGTCATGGCGGCAACAACAGGATAGTTTATCAAAAAGGGCCTTATCAAAAAGAGCAGCCTTTATGGGTGAAGCCAATGCCTTTAACTACTTTCCAGTCCTACAATTTTCCAGTTTAAAATAGTGTCTTGGCACTCCGCCAGCTTTTCTAAAGCTACTACAATCTCCCAGTCCTGCAAATACAAAGCAACAAAGGAAATTCATAAATCATGATATTTTCCAGTTTATTAGTAGCAGAGAAATGACTGTTAGTAAAGGATTATGCCACCATCAATGAATTACGGAAAGATCTGAAAACAGTTCAACAATCTTAGAACTCTTTTCCCGAACTGTTGTGGTTTTTCCATATTGGATCAGCATCGAGGATTGTGGGGTACAAACTGGGTTTGGTGGTTAAGGGCTTCCTTACAAGCATTGGTTTTGGACTATTGAGCTGATCATTATTTGTTGACTGGCAGGAGCACAGCCGTGTAAAAAAAGGAATTTTATGTTCTGTTTCTTCTTCTTCTTTTCTTTTTTTCTTCTCCTGGCAGGGGAGGGTTGGAATTTAGGAAGCAGGATAGGGGAAGGGGGATTTGACCCGGGACCTCTAGATCCTGTGGTCTCAGCATCTGTTCTCTTTCAGAAAGTCCAGACTTTTGGGAATGTTATGTTCGTATGAGTTACTTTGAATTACATAAATGTTAAACTGAAATAATTGATTATCTGGTGGCCATGGTGTCGTTTTTCGTCTGGCTGTTGTGGTCAGTTCACTTTTTTGGTTTCTGTTCTTCATTATTGACTCCAAGTATGCTTGATTTCTGCTTTTCTAACCTTGGGTGTGCTATGGTGGATTCTATCCTTTTTTTTTTCTATCGCTCAGCCATACACATCAGCTATTAATTCAAATAGGAGATTAATAAATAAGTTGGTTTTAAGTTCAATTTGTATGCATTATCAGGTTTTAAACATCAGCGTTTGTAGTTCAAAAATTCTGGAACATATCTTTGTATGTTATTTTTTTTTTACTGACATATAAGCACACGAGGATATCATGTTTACTAATATACTGATTCAATATTGCTATCATCAGTAAACAATTCAACTGTGTTCGTGCTACTGTATGGCCAAATACTTTTATTTCTATTCAAAAAAAGAAAAAAGAAACATATGTTGTGCAAGTATGTCAAAAGTATGGAAAACACATTAATGAATTAAAAGGTGATGCCTTCAGTTAATGACAAAAGTGTATGGACAAGTTACACCTTCAATTGTTTGCAATTACCTATTCTTTTGCAGTCCATTCTTTTGAGTTTTTTTACTGTTATCTCATTGATTTGTATTCCTTTTAAGTATATCCTATTCTTTGACATATCATTGGATGTTTTTTCACTAATTCAAGCATCAACACTTTTTCTGAAATGATATGTCAAAAATTTTGTAACATTTAATTTACAGGTATGGAGTGTTTTGGTTTCTGTAAGATATCATGTTGCGTTGCTTAGACGGTGTGAAGCATTTACTTTCTGCTGTTGTCAATTGCTGTGATTCTGAAATTTATAAGCAACCCCGAGGATTAGAAAATCCTGAAGCTCTTGCAAGGGAGACTGTCTGTATGTCACTCAAGACTGATTTCTAGCATTGTACTAAAACAATGCTCCATTTCAATGTCATTAATGATACCGTTACTCACTGGGCAATGGAAGACATGAATACCATGGCTGATGGAGGAAGAGGTAGATTCATCAAGAGAGACTCCATTTTGAAGGGCCTCTGTAGATCATTAAGAATAAATATTTTTTATCAACATTAATGGTTTGGAAATATGCATGAATTTCCATGCAAGATCCTATATAAGTATAGATTACCAAGTTGTAAACTGAAATAGATAGGAAAGATAGTCCACAGACAAGAAGAACGACAGTAGATCTAATAGATCAGTCCACATGACACATACCTAGAATAAGTCCAGGCGCACAACGCACGTGAGAGGACGACCAAAACGAAGCCGACCAAAGAGGCCTTCGGCTGTTATTCTATATATGTTGATAACTCAAGACTAACTAATAAGTATTGCTGGAAACTTACTTAAATAAATAACAAGAAATAAGCATGACAAATCTTCAATGATTCTTGAACCCGATTGTACTATCAACCATCAATCGAATTTTCTTGAATTTGAAGGGAATCCAAATCTTCATGTTCTCATCACTGTCACACCCAGAAACAACCGAAGTTGCACATACACCAGAACCTTCAGCAAATATAGACAGCAATCTCCTGACCGCACTCAAACTGATAGACAGCCCCATCAAAAAACAACGAACCGACATCTACAACAATTAGGCTTGCAACCCTTTAACAGTTTTGAAAGTGCAAAAAGCTCTAAGAAGCTTTAGCTGTAAATATGTTTAAATATGCCTGCATGATCCTGTAAACTGGATATAAACAATGATCCACATAAATTTATTCTTTTGAAAAGACCTGAAAAATTATCTATATCACAGACGCAGTCCAGCGATCTTTTGCAAAATATGCATTTCACTTAACTCCTCAATGCAATAATATAAAAAAAAAATCCCATGACGCCCGCGCATCGCGCGGGGACCGCACCTAGTAAATATATATAAAAAAAACTTTTGCAAGAGTGGTACTCTGTTAGAGTTTATGCATAACTATTCTGATAGATCATGTGACGTGATTTTTAGATATTAAATTAATTTCTGACAATGGACAAAATCGATTAAACACAAATTAATTTTGATTTTCGACCAATCACAAGCCGATTTCTATGTTTTATTACTGAATATAAAAATGGAAAAAATTGATATCCAAATCTTTTTTCTTTTTTTTTTAAATAAAATTTAAACTTACTGTCCAAATCTTTTTTCTATTCTAATTCAATTCCATATTTCCATTTAGATTCCAATTGGGACACCTATAGGAGGAAACAGATATTGATCGTGTTAGTTTATTTATTGTGAACTAAATTATTGGACGTGCCAAGTTATTTTCCTCGTTTATTAGTGAATTTATACGCACTTTACCAATTATCCAACAAAAAATAAAGAGTTAATAGTTGGTGAACTTTACCAAAAATATGGAGAAGTTCCTCCCCGGCGGCCACTTTCAGGCTCGCTGCTCTCTTTAAACCCGTCCCTCTGCCGTCCCCCCACCGCCGTCCTCCCCCCACCGCCCTACAAAGGCCAAAAAGAAGACCAGGAAGACGAAGGGCTACATAAGTTCCGGCCACAGTCGTGTCGGCAAGCACCGCAAAAATTCTGTGGTATTTTGGTGAAGTTTAATGAGGTATTCAGAAACTCTACAACCAATTTTGTTTTCTAATTGTTAGATAAGCAACGTATTAGAATACTTGATTTCCCAATTGTTGATCAGCAACATCTGAGAATGGTAGGATCAGTGCTCCAGTGGATCGATCATATGTTAATTGGTAGTAGTTCGCTTTTCAGAACTCTTGAATGATTAATTAATTAATAATTATGTTAATCCATTATTAGTTAAAAATGTCGGCTTCTCAGATTTTTTTTCTGATTTTCAAGTTATAAGATTGTGGTATGCTCCCTGCTTAATCTGTATTGTTTGAGTTCAACTTCATCTGCGTTTAAGGTAGGCTTGATCTTGGAAGAAGAGATTTTGTTAAGATTAGAAATTCGATTATACACCTCGGGCATGGGGAGGTAAAAATGAAAATTTGGTAAGCTGCTAGTGACTAAATTTGGCATTCTTAGTTTTGAGTCACTTTTAATCGTCCAATCTTTTAACTTTTACTGCATTTTAGTCAAACATGGTGAAATAGGACAATGATTCTTTGTGTTGGAATCTACAACTATTAGACCACCAATTCTGCATTTTTTTTTTCAGTCTAAGACACAACTTTTTGACATTGAAATTGCTGGGAGCTAGTATAGCATGAATTACTAAACACATTCAAGGGAGATTTCCCATGGATGTTCTGGCTGACTATTGTGCTTGGCTAAGTGTTGGATGAAAATTGTGCTTCTTACCCCATTCGTAGAAATAAAC